GCTGTCTGTGGGACTGTGGCTTCGCAGACACATTTGTCTTCTTGTACTGAGCATCTCACTTTATATTGACGGAATGCCTTTTCCCTTGGGCAATAAGAAACAACTTTATAATTTCACTCTTTCATCTGGTAGCTTTTCTGGCATAAGAAACAGTCACACGATACCTCTTTCTATCCCTCACACCTCGCCTGAGCATCCAGGTTGGCTCGGAACCAGGCTGAGGGGCTCTTTATCCCGCACTCCGTCTCCTAGATCCACCGGTCTCGGTTATCTCCCGTCCTCCTTGGAGCTGCAGACGAACTTGGCGTGTTCTTGCCATGCCACGACAGAGTCATGGGAAATCACCCTCATCAGACCTGACCTTGGAGCACTGCCACATTATACGTACAGCATTGGCTGCATTAAACTTTGGAGAGCAGAAAAATATACTCTGTCCACAGCGAGGCTCTGACCTGGGAGGGAGTGGGTGCAGAGAAAGGTAGAGAAATACTGCCAATCCTTCGATCAACGGTACTCTGAGAGAAACAAACTTCAGAACAATGCCACAACCAACAGCCCTGGACAAGTATTGAATGTTCAGTACATGCCAGACACCAAGCGGAAGTCTTTGACATCAACTCTCTTGCTTCTTCACATCACACTGGGATGCTATTATTACTGTGTCATGTTATCAAATGGGATGCTGCAGATTACAGGACTTTGTGAAGCTTCCCAAACCGAACAGCCAGAAACTTCTGTGGTAGTTACATAATCTGGTGCCAGCTTGAGACTATTAAGAGTGAAGGGGTGGAGTTTAGTCTGTCATTCAGGTCATAGCTTGATGACCTCATTTGGAGGCACTAAGGAGATAAATAGCATGCTGGAGGCAGGGTTCACATTCACTTCCTGCAAGACATTCCTGTTGACAGGACACATGAAGCTACACTAAAGCCCTGGAGCTGAAGGAACCACGTGGAGACCCCTGCCAGCACTGAGATGCTTCCACTGCCACTTGATCCACAAGACTTTCCACCCACTGGCCTGTGATCTTCCTGCACTTGGCATCATTGCATGTGCTGCATGAGTCTGAAGAGGACTTTATAGATTGGTATTGGACATATGGGATCATATTGGACTTTGATTAAACTAAGAGTTGAACGCAGGCTGTCTGACTCTAGAGCCTTACCCAACACTGAGCTGTGATGATGATCCTTTGGTGTGTTGCACGCGCAGTCCTCTAGTGGAAGGACCATCACTCTGGAGTTGTTTTGTATCAAGCTTTTCATCCTTCCCCAAGCCCCCTAACCATGTGTGTTTGCAGACGAGCCACTGGCCATAGTTGTGAATCCCGACTTGATATTACTCTTCTTCCTAGTGACCGCTCTGTTTGCAGAATTCATTCCAAGTAGAATTAAAACTGAGATGTCTTTTTCAGAAATAAATAGCAAACATCTTCGCTCTTTTATGGGCTATAACTTAAGTTAACCAAGATACTGGCGGGCAGGTTTAATACATGTATAAATGTTTGTGTAAAGTGAGCCTCTCCTTACCCAAGCACTTTCTAACCATCCTGTTTCTTGCAGGAAGATTTCACTTCCATTTATGTAAATTTCTTTCCTGACACCGGTCTGCTGAGTCAGACGCTCACACCATTAAACACCACCGGACAGCACAGCCGATCTGAACCAGTCAGGAGGCATCGGCCATGGACTTAGCCTTGTTGTGAGCGCCTCGTGTGCAGTTGTTAGGTTTACCTCTTGCGGTGTTAAAGGGTAAAGGCCTGAGC